TCGACTGTTTGTTCTGCTCATCATGCCCCCAACTCCCTTTAAATGTTAAATGGTGATTACGGCTCATCACGGTGAATGTGACCAGCTGACTCTTGATGCATTTACTCTACATTCTTCTTGCTCTTTTACAGAATTGAGAATTATCATCCGGTGATCAGCTCATCAACTCACTAAGGCACTCATTCATTTAGGGTCACATCACTTCATATATACAGTACTCCACTTACTAACTGGAAAAGTTAGTAATTGGAAACTAGGTGGAGAACATGAAGCAGCAGACTGTCTTATATAAAATGATAGCAGGAATTTGTGAGGAAATACTTACCTCATCTAAACAACTCGTATGGTTACATTAAATAAGTAAATATAGGTTTACGCTAAAATGTAGTAAATGCAGTTCAGTAATAAAAACCATGAAAACGTGATGCATGTGTGCACAGTCATATTACCCTATGTGGAATATAGACAGAAGCGTTTGGCACGTCTGTCTATATTCCACCAGATTCACAGCTGAATTTGTGTGATATCACGAGATCCTGGGATAAATAACTATAAACGAAACAACAACAAGCAATAGTTTACTTTGCCTCTCACTTTACCTTTCTTTGGATTTCTGCTTCAACCCTGGATTTTAATTGTTGTGTTATTATGTCCTACTTAGTTTGCTGCAGTTACACTGTAATACCATTGTTAGTTGTTGGGATTTACTTTGACATTCATTTCTGTTCGTGTGCAATCTGATGTGTTTAGATTGACGAGGCATCCGCCAGAAATAGGCTTGTTATCGTTCTAGTGCTGCGCCACGGTGAGCCACAAATGTGTGAGTCTTTGACGCTCCTGAGACACGCCCAGTGGAATATCTCTCATTGATTATAATGGCATCTAAATGCAGCGGTAGTTGCATCGCAGCTGCTTCCAGTGAAATATGGAGTTTAGCGTGTTGTACTAATAAGCCGCTTTTTTAAGTTGGTTGAAGGCAGTTTAAAGATGCCTGCATAATTGTTTTTTTGTTTTGTTATTTTTTAAAACACATTGAGCTAATTTCTTTCATAGAGAATAGCTTCAAAAGCAATTTCACCCAGTATGCATGTTTTTCCTCTGTTATTGTACCTTTTCTCTGGGGCTAGAATATCACAAATGCAGCTTTTAACTGTTCTAGGGCTAATATTACATGGCGCAGAGCACTTAATGGATGCCACAAGCACCGCGGGCTTATATAATTGGACAAAACAGCAGTTGTCCAGTCAATAGAACCTTTGGTAAACTTAGTATATCCAAGCTGAATTGATGCACTTGTCCTTCACCCATGCTGGATAAAAAGAGGGGAAAAAAAGCTGGGGGAGTGTAGGAGAATGAATACACACTGAGTCACTCACATGGCGATGAATTGAACTGATAGATCAAAGCATGATGCTATTTCTGCCAGCCTCTGTTATTCACAGACCTCTAATACAACCAGACACTTCAGCATAGCTATTATGTAGGGGGGTTGGATTGACCTCGCCTCAACTCCCAGCAGCCTGTGCTACAACTCAGAGTCATCTGTGGGATGCTAACAGATCAAAAGATAAACAGAGGAGAACTTCAATTCAGTTTGTGCTACCTTAAAGAAAAAGATAACAGTTGCTTACAATGCAGTCGCCTTTCTTCTTTTATTACCTTAGTTAACATTGGTTTTCATATGGCAGCTTTTAGAAAGAAAAAGTTATTTGCACCTCCCGACTGCAGTGTTCAGTAACAGCAGGTGGCTGTTAATGCTATCGCCAACCTTGTTGACACCATCTGAAGGGCCTCTTGTTCATTGTTATAGTCTGCAATAAACATTTCATTACCAGAGTGCTCTGCCTATAGTTCAGCCCTCTCCGCTCCCTGCTCTGCAGCGACAGCAAGTTTCTCAGCTGAGGAGTAAACCTTGGGAAAGTGGAGATTAAAACAGGTGACGGCAAGACTCTGAGGAGAAGGGTAAATTGAAGACACAAATACAGAAGTGGACGATGGATGTGAATAAAAGAAGCTAAGAAGAACAGTCGCAAAAACATGAAGCTCCAGTACTGTTTTTTTAATTCACCAAAAAAACCTCTGGTGCAACAAAGCCATTTACAGCATGTGCCTGGTACTTGACTGGTACTTAACCCTAACCCTAACACTTAGCTTTGTCAACAGTGTTGCAAACTTGGTCTTTTCACAATGCACTTCATCATGTAGTCATCTGATCTGGTTTTCACTTCACAGATGGGCCCTCAGAGTTCATTTGTGGAATTTCTTGACACTTTAATGGGGTGAGACCATCATTTGTGTTTTGCAGAAGTTAGGATTGGTACACAGCTGACAGCCCCATTTGACAACTGTCAGAGTTTATATTATCACAAGAACCAATCAGCTCAGTAAAGAGAAATGACAATCGATCATCACTTTAAGAACTGAAGCTCAGTCTCTTTGGAAAATTGTGAATGTATGCCTGAGTGCATGAATATGTTCATTCAAGTCACAAGCCTCAGAAATTGCAAGTTAACAGCACCCCAGATTATAGGCCAGATAAATGCATCTCTCCATCAACAGTTCCGTGGAGGCTGTGTGAATCAGGCCTTTATGATAAAATTGCTACTAAGAAACCACTCCTCAGGAAAAGCACTTTTGTTCGGGCCAAGAAACACAAGGACTGGACATTAGACCAGTGGAAATAGTCAGTCCTACTCTACAGTACATCTGGACAGTGAACTCAGGACACTGCTATTACCCCAACTGACCAAGTGATGCTTACACTGTCCTAGGACAAAGCATAGAATTGTATGACAGTATGTGTGACTAGGAGACCACACCGCAGACTCCTGCATGCTCCAGTTAGTTGACATAGTTATCCTTGAGGTTTTTATTGCATGTACAAATGCAAAGCTCTACAAGGGCTGAGGACTTGAGTGTGAGACTTTAACGTGAGTCCGTCAAACAAAGACTCAGGGTGACTTCACCCTCCCCTTTACTTCAGACACCAAGCCTGGCAGGGTCAAGCTGCCTAGGCTACTAGTTGTGAGATAATGACGCTACATGTCTATGTGTATTTAGTGTAAGGTTAATCTAACAGCTTTTTATCTGCTGCTAACTCTACTACTCTACTACTGGTGACTAGTATTAGTACTAGTACTAGTACTAGTACTACATTAAACAGGCAGAGTGATCCCACTGATGTGTACACTGTCCTAGAAAAAAATAATCTTCCTCCATTTAACATAGGACTCATTTACGATTAGCTATGACAGTAAGTAGCACTAAATTCTTCCATAGAAATTTGTTTCCCTATTGATCTATTCACATTCAAATGGTAGAGTTGTTCAGTGTAGTGTTTCCCTATAATAGTAAATAAACTTAAGGATTTTAGGGAAAACATGTTGATGAAATGTAGATAAATTTGAACAACTTCTTGTGTAATGGCTCGTGCCTTGTATAATCTAGACTTGTGGTCAATAGACCGTAAGTGGGATGTCTCTTCTCTACACTGCAACAGCCTTAGGTTGTCTTGGCTTAGCTGGTGCTGTTGGGGAGGCTCTACCCTCCCTGTGTTCTGTGCTCTGGGTACATCTGTCCGCCTGGCTGCTTTCCCTGAGTCTTTTTTTCCTCTCTCTCACCATCACCACTCTGTCCATGTTTGACTGGGCTGCTGCACTGGGTCAAATGTCACCCACTTGGGATTCTCAGTCTCCTTTTGTCATTGCTGAGTAAGGTGGTTTTTATATATATGTGTGTGTGTGCAAGAGAGAGTGACTGATAAATAGGGCAGGAGCATGAATCTGGGTGTAGGTGAGGGAGAGCTGGAGAGAATATTCTGGTGTGTGATTTTTTTTTTACCGAGTGAGTTTGAAGGAATCAGAGGTGAATTCAGGGGAGATCTTTGTTGTGCTGCTGTACAGAGAGCTATTACTGCCTCTAGGGCTAATCACATCTGTACTAGGTTTGGCAAGAAATTGGTTTGGGGGGTTTCAAGTGTGTGCGGGTGTGGTGGTGGTGATGGGGGGGGGGGTTATGGACAACCAGCTGAGATCCCATGCATGGAATAGGCTAATTGGTATTCTGGCCAGGAATGTGACAGCTTCCCACACAGTTTTCTTTTTTATTATTATTTAATATTTTAACCACACGTACATACCGGCAGGCCCCCAGCAAGATTTTACCTGGCAACAGAGACTAACCTGTTAACTTCTATATATCGCCCAGTAAATCCCCAGGTCCATCTGCCTTAGACAGTTATACTCCAGTCTTTTCTGCTTTATCTCTGTTTACCTCTGTTGGTTGCTGAATGTCTTAAAATATTTGATATTTATTTCTTATATTTAAATTACAGACAATGTAAAAGTTCACTTCAGAACTTGTCATCATGCCTTAATATATCACCCATTGGTATTAACGTGTTGAAATACAACATACATTTAATGAATGAAAAGTACGTGATTATGGAACCATAAAGCAGCATCATGTATTTATATATTTATGAGCTTACAGTGAACTTGAAATGAATAAAATAAATATATTTTAATTAATTTCTGTTAATAAGTAAACATTTATTAAAACTTTTAAAAATATACACTAATACTTAATAATAGGTTTGGTCATTTTAAGGACAGCTGTCACCAGATGAATTGTCTTATAAAATAGAAAATAATATATAAAAAATAAATTAAAAAAAGACTCATTTGCAGTACATTTTCTACACATTTGTTTTTGAAATGGTTAATGCAGAAGACAAATAAACAGCATAGACATCCTGGTTTAATGTTGTGCAGCACCCACAACGTCAGCTGTGCTGGTAAACACAATTATCAGTGCAGTTCTTACGTGTTACCACACCTGCAACAGTGACATTTATTTTTTTTCTGTTTATATTCAACTACTCTGCTCTCACACTCACACATATAACTGCCTATTTTAAGACCCCACTGTTTGGCAACACACAGTTGTGGAGATGCTACAAGTCTACATTGTTAATTTGTCTGACCTTTTGTTTTGTCTAGCTGCAAAGTGGGAGGCTACCAATCTGAAGAAAGTGGAAGAAGCCTATGAAACTGTCAACATGGAAATAAGGTGAGAGGAGACAAATAACAAAGCAATAAAAGCACAGATTAGTTGAATTTGTGGCTGAATAAACATTTCCCCCAACATTTCTTTGCTGACTGTATTTGTTTCTCACATTGTTTTTCTTAGTAGGATGGCATGGTATGTAACCAGGGCTTAAAAATAGACTCAATTCATCTGTGCCAATGTGTAGAGGGGGACTGTACAGTAATGAATATACAGTGTCGACTGTGGGGCTAATTTTAACAACGGAAAACAACCGTTATTGATTTCCTTCTCCCCGGCAACTGTGAACATTTTTTGCATGTAAAACATGCCTGACATTCAGAATAACTGAACACATAAGTACTCTAACTACTCTCCCAGCCCTGCAGTTTACAGTCACAGGCCAATATGATTACAGCAGCTGAAGGAAAAGGAAGGAAAAGGTTTGTTTATCACTATCTCTTACATTCACACAGTTCTAAGCCAGTGATATCTGATAAGTAGCTTCTCTGGTCTCATCAAGACGTTACTTTTTAGAAAATTTCTCAAGCCTTACAGTTTTTCACCAGCTGTGGTTATTTGTCAATAAATTCTTAACTAAACATGAACCAACAACTCATTTTTCAACTCATTTTTCTAGTGCGTAAAAAGGACCATATCCCCAAATGAAATCAGCTTTGCTCAGTATTACAAACACTTCCGGAAATTCCGTGTGCACAGATGGGAAAACTGCAGTTCTTTCTGATCTCAAATCAACGTCATGTGATGCCCTTACTCATCAACTTCTGGTAAAACCATCACATTATTTAAACCCATTATGAATATGGAAATAAGGACATGACCGCTGGTTCTCACTTTACTGATTTTGCGATTAGTGAGGCAAAGCAGCCCTTGCCTGCTCGAATAATTGGATCCTACAGTTGGGAAATCCATGTGTTAACAACAGGCTGCCCCTTAGAGGCACCAAGTATGTGGCTTCTCTGAGAATCAAACCCAGGACTACCTGCTTTCTGTTTCAGAGACACGCGTATTAAAACACATGATGATAAAAAAAATCTATACTACATCTTTGGAGTTTTAAGAAATTACTTTAAGACTACACAAAAGTCACCAACCTGTGAATTTGATTGTGTTTCCACAGTGATCTGCAGCAGAAGCTGGCCATAGACTATGGAACTGATTGGGAGTTTCTGTTTCTGAACAGCCAGTGTTACAAGCTACAAGTATACGAGTAAGTGCCGATATTATTTCTATATGTTAATGATTAGTCTGCTTTAAAATGGAAAACGTCTTTAAATTTGCGTTGACATGTGACGATGAAAACAAACCAGCAGAAGAATCATTGCGCTGTCAAGGCTTTTTGTCGTCACGTGCACTCCCCATAATGGAAGCCACACATGTCAATTACACGTATTACATACATTACAATAAAATTGCTCTTCGGATGCCCATAAAAAAATATAGCCATAAAATTGCTCTTCGGATGCCCATAAAAGTCACTACAAAAATTGTTTTTTTTATCAGAAAATCAATGTTAACTAGAGCCTGGAATCCATCTTACTCCCAGCCACTGTACTAAAACGAATTCCATCTGTATTAAACGTGAACCATCTCAGTAAAGAGCCACAATTTCAAGTTGATAATACGTGAGCTCCTAGTCACCCTGGAGAAGGCGAGCAGCTAAATCAACTAAATTTAATCAACAGAATGAGCTTCTCTTACTCTCTGCTGTTGCATCTCTATGGCCCCTGCTGGGGTAGAATCTGTTCTCTTTAGGCTTGCGTGCCAGCTGGAGCTTTTGAAGCTTGTGGGTGGTTGCAGTTTTGAAAGAAAATTATCTAAGATCTGCACTGCAAATACATTTTTCTGACACCCTTGGAATTTGTGGTTTTCCCATGCCCTCATACGCCAGTGCAATTTGTTTGCTTAGTTTGCCATTTAGTAGGCAGACTTGCAGAGTGGAGCTGAATAACTTGGATTTAAACTGGGAAAAAGCAACTCTTTCCTCCACTGCAGGCAGTGTTTGGTGTTAAGAGAGGCTTAAGTTCTGCAGTGAGGACCTGCTTTGAAGCCCACAGTATTCTAGAGACAAATATGGAAGAGTTTAATTAGGCTGTTTTAATGTGCAATCTGGCTTTATTCATCCCCACTCCAGGATTTTTAAATTTCATTTCAAAACTTTTTAGTCAGAGAAACTTACAGTGGAATATGTTCAGGTATTTGCAAAACACCCCAGAGGTTAAAAAACAAACCTATTCGAGTTGATTGTGAGACCATTCTTTTTAAATATGCCTAATGTTTCTATCACCAGTGCAATGGAACATGAACAGTGAACATGAACATCTCTTTCTAAACAGAGCATACAATTACTCACCAGTGCAATGGAACATGAACAGTAAAATCTCTTTCTAAACAGAGCATACAATTATCCTTAGTTTATACATTATCTCCACAGCAACACAGTCAAATTGAAAACAAAAAAAGCAGTTATGTGGGCTGTTTGTGAAAACAATGACAAACAAATTTACTTCCAGAATAGCATCCATTTGGGAAATAAATCAGGTCACAGCTCATGGTGTAAGAGTTAAAATTCAATTTGTTGTAGCGTCATGTTCTTCATTTCTTATTTTTTACACTGTCAGCCATTTTTGATGAGAAAACCACACTCTCCTCTGCCCCCCCTCTTTCTCTGGCCTACTGACATCACACACTCCATGTTATTTTTCATCCTTCAACTCAGTGAAGAGCACAATATCCACCAGTGTCAACTCAGTTGAAGGTCCTTTGACCTACCAGCACCCTCTCAGCGATGTACCAGCGCCCCCTCCCCTCTCCCCTTTATTCTTGCCGCTCGCCTTGACCGTGATCCTGAAAAGACATGACACTGACATACAGATCAACCAGCAGCTCTCTGTAGCACTCCCTTCCTATGCCCTCCAGTAGCAAACAAGCAGGGCCACAGTATCTCTGCAGTGATGGAACAGAAGCCCAGGCTTCTCTCTGGCTTCCTTATCATCTGCTGAAACCGTCTCACATCCACCCCCACTGTTTAGATCACTGAAGTTTGATTAAATCACTCCCTCTTTCTTTTTCCTTGAACATCCATCTGTATCTGGGGTAAAATGCCTGGGGGCCATAGAAGTTTCATGAGCTCCAACAACTCGCCTGTCTTTAATATAACTAATAGCTGAACATTATTCAAATGAATGGTGTTCAGATGGTGCTGGTGCCAAGAACTGACGGGAAACAGGGTTCACAATAAAGCAGCTGAGGATCCTGGGGAGACGGACCCATGTAGAGCAGCAGACAGCCTTCATTCAGTGAGGAAGAGCAAATAGCTGATTGTCATGGTTACTTTAAGCTGCTCACTCCTAAATATATACAGAAGACCATACTGTACTAAAGCGTTTTATTTGTTGCACTGATACTAGCGTCAGTGTTTTGTGCTTTACTGGTATATGTACAAAAATCATAATCCTGATTATTTTGATTCACGTTGAAATCACATCATTATTTAAAATGATTATTCACTGGTTTGAGAATTTGTTTTTATTGAACTTTTAAACGTTTTTGTGAATTTCTCATGAAAACAATAGGCTGCCTTTGAGTAACTGTTTGGCTATATTATATTTGCAAATATTAGACACAAATATATATATATAACAAAATATGCAGTAGTGTACTGGTAACAAACTGCAGTGCAGTTTAAACAAACATAAACATACATAGTATGATTACTATATATTCAACCTAAAACTGCTGCTCCCTTTTCTCTCTCTCAAAACCTGCTAGTTTTCATAATGGTGGGAAGCCGAGATGGAAATCGATTTTGATTATTCACCCAGCCGTACCTATTAATTTAAGGTACAGTGGAGGTTACACTCTTGTTGTGTTTTTCTATACCAAAATGGTCTGTTAGTTTGTTTATTGAAACTTTCATTATAGTTGAAGTCATTGGGATGCTGCTAAAACTTAATTAAATTAGTTTGTTGTTGTTGTTGTTGTTGTTGTTGTTGTTGTTGTTGTTGTTGTTGTTGTTGTTGTGGAATGCTTCTTTAACAAGATTTGAGTTGAAGATGTTGGACTTAAGTTTTCAGGTCTGAAGGTTAAGTTATTATGTTAATAATTAGTGTAATGCTAATGCCTTGTTACACTTTCTGGCAGTTTTATAGCTCTGTGCTATATTTAGCTAGTCAGCCATACTGTCTTGACTGTAGACTTGATGTCAGTGATTGCATTAATGTGAAAATTTATACAAAATATTGTTCCCACAAATGTGTTATTAGAACAAAGGAGTAAAATATTTTATAGCACCCCTACAGGTGAATGAGGGTAATTACCTATGTAGACATTTTTCCCTCTTTCCTAAGTCCCTCTGTTAGGTCTGCTTTTTTGGATTTCTTTTTAGAATTTTGTCTTACACAATTCTTCTTATTTAAAACAGTTCTAAGTTGTTGTTGTTGTTGAAGAAGATATGGTGAAATCAAATACATTAAGCGCATTTAACTTAACTTTAAAGACCAAATCAATGCCACAAGCTAAAGATAGGAAGGATCTTTGTTGCCTTTCAATGGTTTTCTCC